TTCACTGTTGCTGTTGTACGTTCTGTGGTTTTGGACAACTGTATGATGGCATGTATCCATCATTAGGTTATGATACAGAGTACTTTCATTGCTCTAAAAATCCTCTGTACTCTGCCTGTTCATCCTTTTTCCACCCTACTGATATTTTTGCTCTTTCTATAGTTTTCCCTTTTTCCAGAATGTCATTTGTTTGGAATCGTACAGTATATAGCCTTTTCACATTGGCTTCTTTCACTTAGTAATATGCATTTAAGATTCTTCCATGTCTTTTCATGGCTTCGTAGCTCATTTTTTTTAGTGCTGAATAATATTCCATTGTTTAAATGTTCATAGTTTATTTATCTATTCACGTACTAAAGGACATCTTGGTTGCTTGCAAGTTTTGGCAATCGTGAATAAAGGTGCTGTAAACATGCATGTGCAGGTTTTTGTATGGACATGTTTTCAATTTCTTTGGGTAAATAAGGAGCACGATTGCTGGATCCTATGGTAAAAGTATGTTTAGTTTTGTAAGAAACTCTCAAACTCTCTTTCAAAGTGGCTGTACCATTTTACATCCCCACCAGTAATGAGTGAGAGTTCATACTACTCTACATCCCCACCAGGATTTGGTGGTGTTGGTGTTCTAGGTTTTGTCTATTGTCATAGCTGTGTAGTGGTATCTCATTCTTATTTTAATTTGTATTTCTCTGATGACATAATGTGGAGCATCTTTTCATATGCTAATTTTCAATCCATATATTTTCTTTGGTGAAGGTCTGTTAAATTCTTTGGCCCATTTTTAATAGGGTTGTTTTTATTGTTGAGGGTTTTTTTTTTTTTAAAGATTTTATTTATTTATTTGAGAGATAGAGAGAGAGTGAGAGAGTATGAGATGGGGGAGGGCCAGAGGGAGAAGCAGACTCCCTGCTGAGCAGGGATCCCGACGCCGGACTTGATCCTGGGACTCCAGGATCATGACCCGAGCCGAAGGCAGTCACCCAACCAACTAAGCCACCCAGGCGCCCTATTGTTGAGTTTTAAGAGTTCTTTGTATATTTTGGATAGCAGTTCTTTATCAGATGTGTGTTCTGTAGATATTTTCTCCCAGTCTGTCTTGTCTTCTAATTCTCTTGATAATTGTTTTTTGCAGAGCAGTTTTTTAATTTTTTTTTTTTTTTTTAGTTTTAAAGATTTTATTTATTTATTTGACAGAGACACAGCAAGAGAGGGAACACAAGCAGGGGGAGTGGGAGAGGGAGAAGGAGGCTTCCTGCCTAGCAGAGAGCCCGATGTGGGGCTTGATCCCACCCAGCACCCTGGGATCATGACCTGAGCTGAAGGCAGATGCTTAACGACTGAGCCGCCCAGGCACCCCAGAAGTTTTTAACTTTAATGAAGTCCAGCTTATCAATTACTTCTTTGTGGATTGTGTCTTTGGTTTTGTATCTTGCATCACCATACCCAAGGTCATCTATGTTTTCTCTTGTCTCCTAGGAGTTTTATAGTTTTGCATTTTACATTTAAGTCCATTTTGAGTTAATTTTCATGTCTATTTATTTGAATGTGGATATCTACTTGTTCCAGCATCATTTGTTGAAAGAGTTATCTTTGGTCCATTGTACTGCCTTTGCTCTTCCTTTGTCAATGGGAAGTTAACCACATTTGTGCTGGTCTATTTCTAGGCTCTTTATTCTGTTCCATTGATTATTCGTGTATTCTTTTGCCAATACCATACTGTCTTGATTACTATACCTTTATAATACATCTTGAAATCTGGTAGCATTGATTTTTCAACTTTGTTCTTCTCCATCAGTAATAGTGTTGGCTGTCCTGGGCTTTTGCCTCTCAAGATAAACATTTAGAATAGTTTTTTGTTAGCTATAAAATAACTTTTTGGGATTTTGATTGGAATTGTATTGAATCTGTAGATGAAGTTGGGAAGGACTGAGATATTGAGAATATTGTCTTCCTATTTATGAATATGGATTTACTCTCCGTTTACTTAACTTAGCTCTTTTTTAGTTTTATACATCAGTTTTATAGTTTTCCTCATGTAGATCTTGTACATATTTTGGGGAAGTCCTACTATAAATGGTATTGTGTTTTTAATGTCCTATTCCACTAGGAATAGGTATATAGGAAAGGAGTTGACTTTTGTGTCTTAACTCTGTATTCTCCAACCTTGGTATAATCGCTTATTAGTTCCTGGATTTATTTGGTTGTATCTAGATTTTCTTCATTGATGATCATGTCACCTGTGAACAAAGACAGTATTATGTCTTCCTTCACAATCTGTATACCATTTATTTCCTTTTATTGCCTCACTGCATTAGCAAGAACTTCTAGTACAATTCTGAAAAGGAGTGGTAGAGGGGACATCCTTGCCTTTTCCTTAGTGGAAATTCTTGGACTTTCTCACTATTAAATATGTTAGCTGTAGGGTTTTGGTGGGTAGTCCTTAAGAACTTGAGAAAAAGTCCCCTCTGTTCCTAGTTTATTTAGAGTTTTTACCATGAATGGGTGTTGGATTTTGTCAAATATTTTTTCTGCATCTACTGATACCAGTAATTTTCTTATCTATAGAATACTTTAATTGATTTTATTTATTTATTTTTTTAAAGATTTTATTTATTTGACAGAGAGAGACACAGCAAGAGAGGGAACACAAGCAGGGGGAGTGGGAGAGGGAGAAGCAGGCTTCCCGCTGAGTAGGGAGCCTGATGTGGGGCTTGATCCCAGGAACCTGGGATCATGACCTGAGCCAAAGGCAGATGCTTAATGACTGAGCTACCCAGGCGCCCCAACTTTAATTGATTTTATGATAGATCATATTAATTTGCAAATGGTGAACCAGCCTTGCATCCCTGGGATAAATTTCACTTAGTCATGATATATAATTCTTTTTTTTTTTATTAACATACAATATATTATTTTTTCAGGGGTACAGGTCTGTGATTCATCAGTCTGTAATTCTTTATGTTTTTTCTTTTACATTGGATTAGTTAATATTTTCTTGAGGATTTTTTCATCTTTGTTAATGAGACATATTGGTCTGTAGTTTTCTTGTAATGTCTTTTTTTTTTTAATTTTGGTGTTGGATAATGTTGGCTCATAGAATGAGTTACAAGGTATTCCTTCTGGTTTTATCCTCTGAAATTGTAGAGAATTGGTATAATTTCTTCCTTACATTTTTGGTAGAATTCACCAGTAAACCTGTCTGGGTCTGACACTCTGTGTTTTGATAGGTTATTAATTGTTGACTCATTATCTTTAGTAGTTATTAACCTTTGTAGATCATCAGTTATTCTTGTGTGAGTTTTGGCAGATTGTCTCTTTTAATGAATTGGTCCATTTCATCTAGGTTATATAATTTGTGGGCATAGAGTTATTCATGGTATTCCTTTATTATCCTTTTTATGTCCATGGAATCTATAGTGATGTTCCCTCTTTCATTTCTGAAAGTAGTAAATTGTGTTCTCTACCTTATTAGTTAGCTTGGCTAAAAGCTTATCTATTTATGGATCTTTTCAAAGCAGCTTTTGGTTACGTTAATTTTCTCTATTGATTTCCTATTTTCATTTTTGTTGTTTTCCACTCTAATACTTATTTATATTTTCCTCTGCTTACTTTGGATTGAATATTCTCTTCTTTTTTAGTTTTCTGGGAAGCTTGATTAGTGATTTAAGTTCTTCTTTTCTAATACATGTATTCAATGCTATGAATTTCCTTGTAAGTACTGCTTTTGCTGGATTTCACAAATTTTTTTAAGTTGTATTTTCATTTTCATTTAGTTTAAAATTTTTTTTTATTAAAGATTTTTATTTATTCATTTGTGGGAGAGACAGAGAGAGAACAAGCAGGGGGAGAGGCAGAGGGAGAGGGAGAAGCAGACTCTCCGCTGAGCAAGGAGCCCGATGCGGGACTCGATCCCAGGACTCTGGGATCATGACCTGAGCCGAAGGCAGACGCTTAACCATCTGAGCCACCCAGGCACCCCATTTTCATTTAGTTTAAAATATGTTTATGTTTTCTTAAGATTTCCTCTTTGACCTACATGTTATTTTTAGTCTTATTGTGTGTGTGTTTTTTTATTTATTTTTTTTTTTTAGTGTGTTGTTTAATATCCAAATATTTTGGAATTTTGCTGCTACTTTTTATTTCTAGTTTAATTCCATCGTTGTCTGGGAGCAAACAATATATGATTTCTAATCTTTACATTTGTTTAGGTATGTTTTATAGCCCTGAATGTGTTCTACTTGGTGAATGTTATGTGTTAGCTTAAGAAAAATGTGTATCCCACTGTTACTGGATGAAAAAGTCAATAGATGTCAATTGAGGATAGTCATTGATGGTATTGTTGAGTTCAGTTATGTCCTTACTGATTTTCTGCCTAGTGGATCTGTTTCTGAGAGGAATTTTAAAGTCTCCAACTAGAATAGTGTATTCATCTATTATTTCTCTTTGTAGTTCTGTTGATTTTTATACCATATTATTTTATACTCTATAGTTAGGCACATACATGTTACAGACTGTTATGTCTCAATGGAGAATTGACCCCCTTTATCATTAAGCAATACCCTTATCTCTGATAACTTATCTTACTTTAAGATCTGTTTTCTCTGAAATTAATGTAACTATTCTTGTTTTCTTTTGTTTTTTGTTTTTAATTATGTTAATCACCATACATTACATCATTAGTTTTTGATGTAGTGTTCCATGATTCATTATTTCCGAAAATTTTGTTTTCTTTTGATTAGTGTTAGCATGTTATATTTTTCTCCATTCATTTACTTTTAATCTATATGTGTCTTTATATATAAGGTGGGTTTCTTGGGGACAGCATATAGTTGATAAGCAAGTTTTAAATATCAGGAATGTATATTAAATTCACCCATACCTTACTTGAAAATAGGTTTATAATTTGAATATATTAAAATGCACATATATACCTCTATATTTTAAATCTTTACTTTTGGAAAATATACTTAGTAATTTGTTCTTAATTTTAATTCCTTCAGTGTCATCTATAAACTTATGGCATCGACAAGTGAAGGAATCAGAGTACAAGCTCTCAAGGCAATGGGCTATTTTTTAAAACACCTGGCCCCAAAGTGAGTATAGTATGCATGAAATCTAAAATGGGCTGTGGTATGTTACTTTTTTATTTTGTAAATCTTTGGATATTAATGAACAAGTAATGTGACTTGTTCATTATAAGAATACATTTGTATAAATGGAATTTTAGAAACCATTGAGACTTCATTTCATGTGGGTTGATTATCATTTGCTTTATCTGTAGTATAAAGCTGACATTTTAACCTCAGTATTTGTCATAGTATGTTCTGCTATAGGGATAACTGAAAACTAAAACTTCTGTGTTTTTTTTTTTCTTAGCTGAATATAGATATTCATATCCTACCTATTATTCCTTATACCAGCGTTGGTTTATTATAAAAATTAACAGCTGTAGCAAGAGAGAAGTTTTGGCAAACTGTGGTCTTTATGTGGATTCCAGTTGGCTGCCTGTAAATAAAGGTCCACAAAGCCTAAAGTGTCTAGTTACTGTCCAGCCATTTGCAGAAAAAATTTGATGAATCCTAGGGTAGAATTAAAGTTTGTGATACTTTAGTTCATAAATTTTTGCTTGGAAGTTTGATTTTGGTATATTTATCTTCACAGTATTCATTTTCTTAATGTTTTTTTCATTTCTTCTATCTTTTCCTCCATTGCTTTTCTACTTAATGACTTACTGGGCTTTAGATTATCATCTATAGTGGAGCTTAGGTCAGTGCTGATAGAGAGTAGAAACTAGTCAATAAGTAACTGCTCTGGAGATTATTGTGGAGATTTTTGCTGTGCTGTGACATAGCCAGTCTTGTATTTTTTTTTTTTTTTGAACTTCAGCTGTGCTCTAGCTGTAGTTTATATTTCCCTCTTTAAAGATTTTGTGACCTTAGGAGTTCTAGGTTGAAGAAAATTAGGAGAGTTACTGAGTTGGAATTTGTTGATGGGATGTGAAAAACATTTTTGTGTCTTCTTCATCCAACTTGCATTCTAAGTAGTGGGTAATCATACTCTGCATTTGATTATTTCTTTTCATGAAATCGCAGAAGAAAAGCTGAAGTCATGCTTGGACATGGATTATTTTCATTGCTAGCAGAAAGACTCATGCTTCAGACAAATTTAATCACAATGACCACATACAATGTTTTGTTTGAGGTAGGAATATATTTAGAATTTAATCTTACTAATTTCTTATTTTAAGATTACCTGTATAATTTAGTTGATAGTATCTAGATGAAATAAGGTGATTTAGGTTTGATAAAGTTTTGAAATTAGTTTATAAAGGAGATGTGGCTGCATCTTAAATCTGTTAATCTGAATTATTAAAAAGTATGAACATCTCTTAAGTATTTCCTCTGTTGTATTGATGTCTCGTTTTGTAATTAAGTAAAAATAGAGTTATAGTGTTGCAATTATTTATTTCATGTAATGCAGAAGATATTTAGCATGATAGCATTGGATTGTGTACTTAATATTGATTAGTGCTGTACTTAAAGTTCATTAATAGCCATAGTTAATACAGTGATTATGCTAATATAATCTATTTTACCTTTGTAGATTCTTATAGAGCATATTTGTACTCAAGTGATACACAAACAGCATCCGGATCCTGATTCTTCAGTAAAGATACAAAATCCTCGTATGTATTTTATATACTTTTATTTTTGCTTGTTTTTGTTTTTTCCAGCTTTATGAAGATATAAATCTTGACATATAATATTGTATAAGTTTAAGGTGTAGAGCGTCATGATCTGATTTATCTATATATTGTGAAATGATTACACAGTGATGTTAGTTAACACATCCATCACTGCAAAGTTACAATTTTTTGTGTGTACATGTGCTGAGGACTTTTAAGATCTGTTCTCTTAGTAGCTTTTCCATTATACAATACAGTATTGTTAACTTTGGTCACCATATTGTATATTAGATCCCTAGAACTTACCCAGCTTATGACTGGAAGTTTGTTTCCTTTCAGTACTTTCACCCATTTCTCCCCTCTTTTTTACACTTTTAATAACTAGCTTTTGCTAATAAAGTCACTGGGAAAAACCTGAAGTTGGTTGAAAACATACTGTTCAAAGAGTATTTCATTATAGGCAATGATATAATACTAGTTTTATTTTTGGTTAATGTTGAATGTAACTTCAAATTGACCTTAGATTATATGGAAATGTTTATATAGAGGTTTTGAAGAATTGTATGTGTAAGATACTGATTTAACGTATGTTCAGATTTTCGGTAAAGTTTTGATTGCACTATTTAGTGATGTCAGGCCAAATTACATGAACCATGGTCATAGCTTTCATCTTAAATTATTGTCAAGTTAAGAATACCAAGTTTGGAATTGAAAAATATCTGCTTTCTTTATTGTTTATGGAACTGCGTCTTGTTTAACAGTCTTTTCTTTGGTATTTAGATTTCTTAAGCACTTGTACAAAGTGTACAGTTTTTATCTTGCTTTTTAAGATTATTGACATTAAAATAACTGGTTTGTAGAGTTTTGAAATTTAATTACCTTTTGGGTGGTGAGTTACGTTTGTAGTACTCTATTTCAGTACTAGTTTTAAAAACATATGTCTGAAGTTTAATTTTCCTCAGCCTTCAGGGAGACTTGATGTCATTATTTTAGAGAGTTAAAAAAAGAAAATCTCGAGTAAATGTATATAAATATAAAGTATATTTTATGTGATTATGGGGAAGATGGCTTGTTGAAGTAAGAATTATAGAATATATTATTTATGTAATATACTGTCTCAGAAAAAACACATTGTATAGTATGGTGTTTAAAAACATAGGCTGCCTGGCTTTTTTTTTTTTTTAAATTTTATTTTATTATGTTGTGTTAGTCACCATACATTACATCATTAGTTTTTGATGTAGTGTTCCATGATTCGTTGCGTATAACACCCAGTGCTCCATTCAATATGTGCCCTCCTTAATACCCATCACCGGGCTAGCCCCTCCCCCTAACCCCCTCCCCTCTAAAACCCTCAGTTTGTTTCTCAGAGTCTGTAGTCTCTCAGGGTTCGTCTCCCCTTCCGATTTCCCCCCGTTCATGTTTCCCTTCCTGCTATCTTCATTTTTTTTTTTGACATACAATGTATTATTTGTTTCAGAGGTACAGGTCTGTGTTTCATCATTCTTACACGATTCACAGCGCTCACTATAGCACATACCCTCCCCAGTGTCTGTCACCCAGCCACCCCATCCCTCCCAACCCCCTCCACTCCAGCAACCCTCAGTTTGTTTGCTGAGATTAAGAATTCCTCATATCAGTGAGATCATATGATACTTGTCTTTCTCTGATTGACTTATTTCACTTAGCATAATACCCTCTAGCTCCATCCAGGTCTTTGGAAATGGCAAGATTTTGTGTTTTATGATGGCTGCATAACATTCCATTATATATATACCACATCTTCTTTATTCATTCATCTGTTGATGGACATCTTGGCTTTTTCCATAGTTTGGCTATTGTGGACATTGCTGCTATAAACATTGGGGTGCACGTACCCCTTCAGATCACTACATTTGTATCTTTGGGGTAAATACCCAGTAGTGCAACTGCTGGGTCGTAGGGTAACTCTATTTTCAACTTTTTGAGGAACCTCCGTACTGTTTTCCAGAGTGGCTGCCTGGCTTTTAATCTTGTCTGTATGTTTTAATAGTTGTGTGACTTTGGGTAAATTACTTAATTTCTGTGTGCCTCAGTTTTCTTATCTCTAAAATGGGGATAATAACAGTATTTAGCTATCATTGTATATGAGTTAATACCCGTATTTTCTTAAAACATTGCCTCATAATAACATATTTCTTAAAATTAGTGGCTATTATCATCATCATTATTGTTATGATTATCATCATCATTGTAATCATTGTTCAGGTAGAGAAATTTTCAGTTTGTCATTAGAAGAATTCAGAAATTACTCCCCAAATGTCTTTCATTGTATGATAAAGTATCTTCATATTTGCTCTTTTGTACTTACTGCTTCAAAATCACCAAAAACCTTGGCAAAAGGCTAGTATAGAAGTTCTAAATTGTAATTGGGTATGTAAAAACTTACATATTATTTAAGTTCAGATTCAGGGTTATAGCTGTTTTTGTTTCTTTATAAGTTCTGTATTTAAGTATGTATTTTAAAGAATTTTTTTTTCCTTAAAGCTAAGTATTAGAAATTTAGACAGTGTTATCTTTAAGACCATTACAGTAGCAGTTTCATTTGTATTTATTTGGGGGTGTTGAATAGGTTTTTATTTCCTTTGTTTTTTTAATCTAATTTAATTTTTGAAATCATGGAAGAAAATCTTGCTAGCTTTTAAAACTATGATAAAGGAAAGGCTATATTATGCATACCAGGAATTTTATTGAAGAAGCTGAGAATTTTTTCTGCTTTTCTGAGATTTTGATTATAGCTTTTTTTTTTTTAACATCAACTTTACTATTTGGCAGAGATTGTGAGAGTTGTCAGTAGTCCGTAGTTTTACTGTTATTTAATTCATTTATAATTTAATTAGATTTAATGTAGAATTCAAGTTTAAAAATTTTTAAAGTTCAACTTTTATACATTTGTAATGACAAAATAAAATCCCTTTCTTATGGATGCTTTCTAATGAATGTATTGTCATTCTTTTCTGCAGATGATTTTTTTTATAACACAAAAACAGATGTTTTCAGTAGACATATATGTCAGGGAAACAGAGAAATATATTAAGGATCTTCCATCATGAATTTTTTTGTGATATTTTGGTTTTTACTAATTTATGAATTATCTTACAGAGATACTAAAAGTAATTGCAACCCTACTTCGAAATTCTCCCCATTGCCCAGAGAGCATGGAAGTTCGCAGAGCCTTTCTTTCTGACATGATTAAACTTTTTAATAACAGTAGAGAAAACAGAAGGTAAGTGGGATCAGAAAGCAATTATTTGCACTATTCAAGTCCAGGTTTGAATAAACCCATTTTTTTTCTAATTAAGAATTGTTTTTAAAAATACTGTGAAATGAATTTTCCATATGCTTTTCTCATTAGCGGTATATAAATAATGTACCATGCATTTAAATTGAGTTTTCAGTACTACCATCTTTAATTGTTTTAATACATACATAGAGGTGCCTTTTTTTGGTTTGTTTTAAACTTTTACTTTTTAGAATTCTTAGAGATGAGGGGCGCCTAGGAGGCTCAGTCGTTGAGCATCTGCCTTCGGCTCAGGTCATGATCCCAGGATCCTGGGATTGAGCCCCGCATCAGGCTCCTTGCTTGGCGAGAAGCCTGCTTCTCCCTCTCCCACTCCCCCTGCTTGTGTTCCCTCTCTCGCTGTGTCTCTCTCTGTCAAATAAATAAATAATCTTTAAAAAAAAAAAGTTCTTAGAGATGAGTATTTTTTTTTTCAGTAATTCAGTATCCTCTTACAATTTTCAGGAGCTTGCTACAGTGTTCTGTATGGCAAGAATGGATGCTTTCTCTTTGCTATTTCAATCCTACGAATTCTGATGAGCAAAAGATAACAGAAATGGTGTATGCCATATTCAGAATCCTACTTTACCATGCAGTCAAATATGAATGGGGTGGCTGGCGTGTGTGGGTAGACACCTTATCAATCACACATTCAAAGGTAAGTTTTTTTATGAAAACATTGTAGTGTTTTAAATGTCTATAATTTTGATTTTACTCATTCTCTGAAAGCACAGTGAAAGGAACAACTAAAAAAGGGAATCACTAAAAAAATAAAGTTTTTCCAATTTCTTTAGACTCAAAATGGGTTTTTCAAGTGTTATTTTATGTATGCTTAACTTAATAAAGTGAAACCTCAAGCCACAGCATAAAGGAACTTATATTTTAAAGTAGCCATTTTTGCAGATACTATTCTCTGTTTTAGGGTAGTTTGAAGCTTTTGAACACAAGGTGGCGCAGTATATTCAAAGATGAGACGTTATTCTAATAATGTAAGGTGGTTGGGTAAATAGAAAAGCTCAGGCTAATGTTTGCCCTTTGCTCACATTATAGTCAGTTAAAAAATTGATTTGGAAGAATCTGCTGGTCTTTTTTTTTTTTTTTTAACCTAAGCCAGTGTAAATTAGTTATTTATGTATAGCTTTTGTTTGAAATTGTTCATGAAATATTCTAGACACACAAAAAGGCATAAAGAATAATGTATCTACCAGTATTTATGGTGCTAGGTTCTCCATCCCAGTTGCTTTGTCTATCATTGTTAGCCCCTCTCTCCTTCCCTACTAAGCTTAATTTGGGTGTTTACATTATTTCTATTTCTTATGTATATTTTTAACAACACACACATGTCTAAACTATTAATAAAGAATTTTATTTTTCATGTTTATACTTAATATAAATAGTATCATATTAAACACATTTTTCTGTAGCTTGCTGTTTTCACTTGTCATTGTTTGAGATTCATCCACATTGACCCATGTAGCTGTGTTTATTTTCTCAGTTGTGTTGTATTCTATGGTATGGCTTTATCCATTTACCAGTCAATGAACATTTTTGATACATTTTGTATATATTTGGAAGTTTCTCTCTATATGTTCCTAGAAGTGGACTTGCTGACTTGTAAGATGCAGATGTTGAACATTAGATGATAATGCAAATTTTTTTCCAAGGTGATATATCCATTTCCATGCTCTCCAGTGATGTATAAGTTATTGCTTCACGTCACCTTATCACTTGGTACAACTGGAGTTTTAAGATTTGCAAATTTGATGAATTTTAAATGCTATGTCGTGATAATTTTAAATTTATAACTTCTTATTTCATGGGAGCTTTACACATATATTCTTGCCTTAAGCTCTTCCTTGCTCTATTATTTATTAATATCTTCTGCCAATTTGTGGCTTAACAACTTAATTTTTAGAAATGGTAAGATAAATTTATATTTATCTTCTGAGGAGATTTTACATTTCAAATAATGCAGTAAAATTTGTTAGTTTCTTTTATGGTTTATGCATTTTATATCTTGTTTAACAACTCTTTATTCACAAAGATTGTAATTATATAATTATATAAATTATAAATTGACTAGAAGGAATAAAGAATAGATATGATAAATTTTATATATCTTTAAGTGTTTTATTGACTATCATAGTTATTTCTCTGTAATATTTTGCCATTCTTTGGAGTATATCGTCATTTTCTAAATATATGTTTTTAGGTGTTTGAATAACTTTTAGTTATTTGAAAGTACTTAAGAGTTATTTATTCCTCTTTCTCCTTAATGAGAGAAATGTACGTTACTGTTGTAACGATTTACAAAGGTAGTTTAGATTAGAAGATACCACTCTACTAATTTATGTTTGAGAATCATCCAGTGCTAAATAAGACAAAGACTTGATTTTATAAAATGGCTTTTAGTCACTCCGTTTTTGAGCTTACCAGTTTAGTCTAAGGTTGGGTTCAGCCAAATATGGCCTGAGAGTCAAATCTAGCCTGATGTGTTTTTATATAAATGAAGTTTTATTGAAACACAGCCACTTCCATTTATTTATATATTTTTCTCTGGCTGGTTTCATGCCATAAGTATTCAGTGTTTGCAAGAGAGACTGTATGGCTCCTAAGCCTAAGGTATTTGCTGTTTGGTACTTAACAGAAACTGTTTGCCATCTCTTGTGTAACTTAATTTAGTTTGTGCTGATGCCCAGATCTTTTGATTTTTATTATAGAAGGCTGCTGCAATCTGGACTAATTTTCTGCTAGTATTGTTTACCTCTTTACCAAAGATCATGAGGAAAACAGGATTGAGTCTTATATTACATTTGGATTGGATTTCAGATCTATGTGGGGGAATTCTAGGTTAGCAGAGTGCCAGTATAAATTAGATTTTGCAGATTTTCAAAATGGTGTATGTTAATTCAGTGCTTTTGTATGCACTTCTGCTTGTAAGGATGGCTAGAGGAATATAACCTTTAGAGCAGTAATATTGTAAAAGTACAGCCTGAAGACATCAGGAACCTGGGAGACCTTTTTAGGAAGGTTATGAGGTCCTTCTTTCCCAGTTATATATCTATTTGAAAGTGGATTTTTTTCATATACATAAACCAAAACAGTATATAATACAACAGACTGAATATAAAAGCAGATATTAGAATGCAACCATCTCCTATTAAGCTAGAATGTAAAGAGATGTGCAAAAATGTGAAATCCTAGCACTCTTCTCATTATTTTTTGTTTTGAAAAAGTCATTTTTAAAGAAGTGTTTATATTAATATACAATGGCTTTATTGTTATTTTGAAATGAATTAATATTTGTAAAATTTGTTACTCTTAATTTCTAATATGATAAGTAGTAATAGATATAACTCATAAATAAAAAGTTTTGGGGAGCCTCAGTACTTTTTTAAGAGTATAAAGCATCTTGAGACAAAACATCTTGAGAACTGCTGAAGCCATAGGGAATTTAGGGCCATTAGTCTAGTCTCTTGAGGTTGGACTAGGAAGTACCTCAGGTTATCTTTGAACTTTTGAGCATTTATATCCAGTTACCAGTCCAGTTGTGAAAGCAATAAAGAGAATATGGGCTTTGGACACAGGTTAGTTCTGCGTTTGAATTCTGGTTTATAGTAATTTTTAGTTGTATAAACTCAGGTAAGTTTCTAAACTTTTCTTAACTATCAATGTCTAATATAGAAATTGTAAATGAGGATATATATGTGAAGTTAATGAAAGAAATCACAGGAAATAGAATTAAATGTTTAATGACTATTTTCCTTTGTTAAAGCTCTATCATTTTTCCTGGTTATCTCTTTGTTTTCATTCTCATTGTCAGCATACTAGTTCAGGCCCCAAGTCACTTCATGTTTGATATAAATTCAACTTTTAAAATGAGGAATTACTTATATCCCCAATAATTTGTGTAGCATATATGCTTTGAAGTGTTACAAGGAAGAATTGTGACTACCCAGCTTAACATGCTGTGTGGTTTTCCCTATCCAATCCCCACCCCAAACCTAATCACCATTTTGAATTTTATCATTTCCTTCTTAAAAAAGTTAAAGAAAATATATTCCTAAATGATATATTATCAGATTTTCCCTATTTTTATATTTTATGAAAATGACATCGTACTTTGTGGACGCTTCTGTTACTTACTTTTTTCTCTGTGAAACCTTTTATTTTTAAGTTTTTTTTTTTATTGTTACATATAGCTTTGGTTCATTTGTTTACCATGCTGTGAATAACTGAAGTGCTCAAAGGCAATGGTTTTACTAGAGTTATCAGTTTCATACTCCTTATAACTGTGGCTCACAGTAAGAAATTTATAGTGACCATATATGTATGTAGACACACGCACACAAACCCTTTCCTCTCATACACCTGAAACATAGGTTTCAGGGCATAGTATTTGCCCTTACTCAACTTTGGTTTATAGGGATGCATTCTTATGTTTTCTTTTTTGTTTAAAAATGCTGATGAAGCCCCAGCAAGTTGATTCTGTGATCTGCCAGCTGAATTATCTTCAATTTGAAAAGAGCACTGCTCTAGGACGTATAAATAGGAGTAGAATTGCTAGATCCTAAGTAATGTTCCATCCTCTAATCCATGACACTTTTTGCAAGGTTTTGTCTTCTGCCTATGTTAAAGTTCCCCCCTCAGTGATTTTGTATGTAGTTTTTTATATATGCCTAGATCACTTTGACTTTGCATATTTCTGATGGTCAGTAGCCTTAGGTATTATTTTCCTCTAGATTTATTAAGCTAAAAATAATTTATATAATGTTACTCCTTCCATAAACACTTTGTTCAAATTTTCATAAAAAGGGAACTAAGGTAAGTTTCTTTTTTAACAAAATAGTTTTTTCTACCTAATCTTTCATTTTCCCTTAAAAAAAGGATTTCCTACCTTACCTTCCACTGTTTCACTTGGCAAAAATCTCTGCTCTTTGTTGGTTCTAGTCTTTTTAAAGTATATCATTCTTTGTTAAGTCTTCATTTTTGTTTATTCATGGCATGGGCTTTGTGTTCCTTTGCACTTAACCAAATCCTTTATATTTTTCATGATTTAGCTAGCTAAATCACTTATATGACAGTTTTTCATACAGTATGTATGAATGAATTCACAGCAGTTAATTATCTGTTGGTATCTTAAGTGTCTGTCTCTCTCCCTCCTTTTCCCCTTCCCCTGACTTCCTTTCTTCCTCTCTCTCTCTCTCTCTCACTACCTAGTCTTCAGCTAATCAGTCTTCTCTACCCTTTACTCTATTGCTTTGCCTGTGGGTATCGAGTGCATCTGTGCTGCCCCCTGTCACTGCCAGCTAACACCCCCCCTTTGCTTGTCTCTTTCTTCTTTTAGCCACACTCTTTCTTTCTTATCCCTCTCTCTGTTCTTCTCTTCAGCATTCCTCCATCCATTCTGTACCCCTGCCTTCTCCCTTCCCCCAGCCTATGTTTCTTTTATTCTGTTTTGTCCTCAGTGAATCTGTGTTTGTTTTGTCTCTGCTTCTCTCCTCCCCACTGTCTCTCTTGGGTGGTTAGGTACTCTTGGTCTCTCGTTCATTTTCAGTTACTCTCTGTCTAGGTCTTACTCCAGTTGCCCACCACTTTTCTTCCCCTTTCTACCTTAACTCTTTCCTTTTTTACCTTTCCACAACTCCCTATCTTCTG